TACCTCATTCAGACAAAACGCTAACGTCATCGTATTTACCTCATTCACACAAAGCGCTAACGTCATCGTATTTACCTCATTCACACAAAGCGCTAACGTCATCGTATTTACCTCATTCACACAAAGTGCTAACATCATCGTATTCACTTCATTTATACAAAGCACTGTCATCATATTCATCTCATTCAAAAAGCGCTAACGCTATCGAATTTACCTCATTCACACAAAGCGCTAACGTCATCATATTAACCTCATTCACACAAAGCGCTAACGTCATCATATTAACCTCATTCACACAATGCGCTAACGTCATCGTATTCATCTCATTCACTCGAAGCGCTAACGCCATCATATTCACCTTTCAAGGATTACCCACCTTGTATTCATATCCACTAAATTTCCGAGAATCATTATGGAATTTGCAGGTACTATATATTTACATTATATAAATAACCACTGTATATTAAACTGGTTAGCTATCATCTAGTAATATTGACATGTTAACAATTCTCTTCTGTTAACCATGATCTATTGAAATATTTTCAGAATTGTCGCATATTAATGACCATCTTGAGGGCTGTTACTGATGTTGTCATACTTATATTCGTATGGTCCTTCATCATTTACACATCACTCATCAGTTATCTGTTGGGGGGGGGCGGCATTTTTGACCCACCTGCTGAGAGGAGTGTTGTGAGTTGGGAGGGTCGAGTGAGTCGCCGTTCAGGGAGGCGGCGGAGGGCAGCAGGGGCTCTGGGGTCAGGGAGGGATCCTCCTGCTCCAGCTGGCCTCTTGGCAGAAAAGAGTATGGTGTTTCCTCAGTCAGCAGCGTAGGCCGCTTGGAGATGTGAGATGTGGTGGACTCCAGGTCCGCCAGCAGGGCATCTATGCGGTGGGACACAAATGCACAATGATTGACAGCTCAGTGGCCCAATCCCATCTTTGATACCTGATTTCAGCATCAGCTGACCCCAGTGAGGTCACTGAGATACGTAGTCCATCCCGATTCGCAAACAGTGTGCCGTGCTGTTCTTGGTGGGGTCTGTAAATTTGATCAAAAGTTCACTCAGACACACTCACACACCCAGACAGTGTGACTCTGGGTCGGCCAGGGAACCCCAAGTACTTGGAGAAAACCCTCCAACGCTAGAGCCGAGCGCTGACAACATGAACACTTGAGCAGAGAGCCAGATATCTCATGTTGCACGGCATGTAAACACAGCTGCCTGGAGCAGGAAACAGCACAAGCTACAGACACCGACTCTCCTATTCTGGGATGGGCCCTACATGAAGACAGGTTTACAGAAGAAAAGTCAGTTGTGTGCTGTATGTGAGAGGGAAAGATATGGCATGTGTCTATCTGTGTGTGTGTCTATCTGTGTCTGTATGTGTGTCTGTGTCTATCTGTGTGTGTGTCTGTCTGTGTCTATCTGTGTGTGTGTCTGTCTGTGTCTATCTGTGTGTGTGTCTGTGTCTCTCACTCCAAGCAGCTGCTGTTCCTCCCTCACACCAAACAAAGCCTCACCGTCCCTGGTGCCCAGTGTGCCATCACTACAGTGACCATTCCATGGGTCACGCCCCACACACACACACACACACACACACACACACACACACACACGAACAGTTCTGTTTGCAGAGACCTCCAGCTGGCTTGCATGTGTGTGTGTGTGTGTGTGTGTGTGTGTGTGTGTGTTTGGGTGTCTGTGGGGGGGTTATCCCTTACCACATAACATGCCCCTTTTCGGATGGTTTAGGGGTGGTCCCTGCATGGTAAGTAAACCCCCACAGACAGAGAGACTCATGTGGCAGGCGTCACTGCAAAGGCGAGGTCAGGGGTGGGGGGGTGACAGACTGCCAGGGCCACAAAGCCCCTCTTAACAGCAGCCATTAAAGTCCCACAGATAAGGGCAGCACACGACAAGAACTCTGGGTCAGAACCACAGGGCCCGGACAGAACCGAGCGTCCAGGTGAAGCTTCCTGATGGGCCGTGAACTTGCCAGCTCCTAGGGACTAACCGGCCTGGTTATCGCTACTATAACCGTCCCAAAAAAAAAAAAGCCAGGAAGCACATTTTACTGCCATGTCCTGAAATGAGGCTTGGAAATACCCTCCCATCCTCAGGAATAACCCAAAATCCCATCACGAGGGAATGGAAAGCATCTGAATAAAATCAACGGGTCAGAGCAGCTTGTCCCCCCACCCTCCACAAAGGGACCAGCAGGGGCAGTACTCACGTCCGTCAGCAGAGCGTCCAGCACCGGGGAGACAGGGAGAGTTTTTGGGAGAGGGTAGTGGCGGCTTCCCAGGAAGCATGGGGGGAGGGACAGAAAGGCTGCTTATCTGCTCCCGCCCCCCCGCCTTTCTCCCTAGGCCGTGTCACTTTACAGTTGCCGGCCCGAGGGGGGGCTCTCTCACCGAGGTTGCCATACTGATCACCTGCTCTTAAAGGATCCTAGAACAGCTGCTTCTGAAGAGGCCTTCGATAACCCCTCACTCCAGGCACCTGAAATGCGAGCTGGGTCCACAGAGACCCAATCGGCCTCTGCAAAAGAGATGCCAAGGCCTGTCCATGTCATGGCCCACTAAGGCCCACCGAGTTCACAGACAACCAAGGACCACTCACCTCATGGCCAGCCAAGGTCTGCCCAATGCACAACCTGGCCACCTCATGGCCCGTTGAGGCTCGCCCACCTCACGGCCCGCCCACTCCAAAGTCAGCCAAGGTCCACCCACCTCATGGCCCACCAAGGCCCGCAAACTTCATGGGTAGCCAATTCCTGCCCACTTCATGGCCTCCCAAGGCCAGTCAACCTCAAGGCCCACCGAGGCGTGCCCACCTCGTGACCCACTTCACGGCCAGCCAAGGTACACTCACCTCATGGCCCACTAAGACATAGCCACCCACTTCACCCACCTTAAGACCAGCCGAGGTCCACCCACCTCACAGACTCCCAAGGTCTGCCCACCTCACGGCCCTAATGGCCTGCCAAGGGCCGCCCACCTAAAGACCAACCAAGACCTGCTCACCTTATGGCCTGCCAAGGTCCGCCCACCTAAAGACCAACCAAGACCTGCTCACCTTATGGCCTGCCAAGGTCCGCCCACCTAAAGACCAACCAAGACCTGCTCACCTTATGGCCTGCCCAGGCCTGCCCACCTTATGGCCTGCCCACCTTGCACACATCTGCATGGAGCTTCTGTCACGGCTGGAACTAGTTCCCAGCAACCGGGTCACAGCTCCACCAGAGATGAAATTACAGGGGCTGAGTAAAACCAAGATGGGCTGGGCAGCACCTAGAGGGATGGCTCAAAATCCCAGTGAGGACCAGTGAAAGGAAAGGAGGGCCAGTTAACCCCCAGTTCTCCAGTGAAAAAGGCAAATGGTTGCTATGTAAAGACCAATGTTCCTAAGGGCAGATCCGACAGGCAGACCCAAAGCCCCACCTTCAGCACACGATGGCGCCGGATGACTTTGCTCCCTGCGTCTGACGCATGCATGTGCCCCCCCCCCCATCCCCCCTGCCTATTTACGGGCGAGACACCGCACAGAGCCACGCTGACACCCATGGTGGACTATCAACCACCATCTAAAAATAACTCACACCTGACCAGGGCAGTCTAGTTAAGCATGTCCTCCCCCACCCGGGAGCAGCGCTGTGCGGGCACCCTACACATGGTGGGACCAAGAGCTTGTGCAGTTTGCGGGGGTGGGGGGGTCCATTTTCAAATTATTGGGGGTATCTTTTCCCTGAACAAGAAACACCTGAAGGTCCACAGGTGCTGGTCGACGCCTCGTTCACGCTCGCAGATCCCTCAGCTGCTCTCTTTGATACCCCAAACGCCCTTATGTTGCACTTTGTCTTTTAATTTGAACAGCTCTCGCATTAGCTCCCTGCTGTGTTTCTAACAGCTCCTGTTCATTTTAAACTGCACTTGTTACTGGTCCCTCATTGGAAGTACAGCCTAAGCTATGTGCTCCTGGAAAGCTGCATGCTCATAATTTATTATCTACCTCGACTGTACCTTGTTTCAGACAAAAGTGTCTGCTATATAACTAAATGTAAATGTGATCACCCAGCCCACACCACCCACTCTCAGGGAGTCATTATATTATAATACTGCCCAGCTCAAAAAGTCTTGAATCAACTGCAAAACTCACATTTTCTGTTATTTCCTGCATTACACACAATAGGGAACTCACGTTCACCAGCTGCTGCACTCCCGTCCCGGCC